GTCATAGGATTACGTCACAGGTGTGTCAAAACTCTTCCTTTTTAAACAAGTGACCACTGCTAGGAAATGTCCTGATATTGCTAAATATTTATTGTTTTTTTAAAATGGTTTGTTAAACCGATTTGTAAATTAATTAGAAATCAGAGTTAATTGTCGAATAATAGCAACGCCAAGTGATTGTTTACTATTACAATTTATTTAGTTTTAAGTAGGTATGGCTAGGTGTTTTACCAGAAGAGGATATACTAAGAAAAAGTTTAAGGATACATTTAAATTTGTTTAATGAAACTCCAAAACATCTAATAAATACGTAGTATTAGTCATGATTCATGAATATTGCGTAAGTATGGTTTCTTAAAAAAATTGCTGTTAGGAACATAAATACTTTAAGTAACTCAAATTTTTAAGTGTGAATAGTCAGTAGTGGAAAACTAAACGTTGAAACATAAAAACAAGGCTGTAAATGGAACCTTCTTTTGTGGTAGTCTATGAGTATGTGTGAAAACACATGACCCTTTCAAATGTTTATCAATAGGAGAATTTTTCCTTTGTAAACAAGTGGTTAATAAAAGAAGGGATGAAGGTGGAAGAAATTAATGGAGATAGGTGTGGAAGGCAGAAAGGGCGAAAGAGAAGACACACAACACCATGAATTTACGGGTGTGCTGGTGGAGATGGTTAGGTGGGAATACTATAGAATGAACACTAAAAAACTTGTATTGTGTTTATGTGTAAGAAGAAGATTATACATAGTATATGGAACAATGGGAGTGTGCCCCCGTTGGTTGAATTGGAGCTATATGGATTATGCTTTATTTTTATTAAAGGGCATTCTGAAAGCATCATTCCGATCATGCTTTATTTATTTTGAATTAAACCAATCAGAATAGGCATTTCCGAGCAGACTGTTTTTTTCAAAACCCTTCTTTTGTCCTGCTTTTGGTCAGAATAACGTGTTCCGAATATCATATTATTTTTTACCAAATTATGAACTCCCCGTGTTTATGCATGTGAGACTCAAAACTCCCGTTACTTGGGAATTTCCTCGGATTTTTTAGTGACGTCTAAGCTACGGGAGTTGAACTTCACACATAGTTGTCATTGATTAAGAAAAAGATTTAATTTAACTCTATAAGATTGAATCTCCTATCGTTCCTACATAACTTTGTGGTGAATCGAGCGAACGGCTGTTAACCGATTGTCAGGTTTGGAAGATGTAATGCATTATTGGTTGAGTGGTGTGACGAGTGCCTTTTATGAGTTCTATCAGGATTGTCCCAGGTTTGGTTTTCGCTTGAAATCATATACGAGTATTTTATAAAATATTCGTGCCTAACACAGTAACACTATTTGAAAGCAGTTAAACGTTATTACGTGCGCATATACTAACAAAGTTATGTACATATTCTTTTATTTGGTATAGATTGATCATTGTATCACACAAATATAACAAATAGTTTGATGTGAATTGTGGTTGCTTGTTTGAATAATGTGTATAAATAAATCCACAGTGTACATGTTGATTTAGTACTGAATATGAAACTTATACACTCCCTCCATCCCATAAAATTCTTCCAACTTACCATTTCGAGATGTCCCAAAAAATTCTTCCCATTTCCCTTTTTAAAAAAAGTTTTCCAACATTTGTTTACCTTTTTCTTACTCAACCACAACTATACATTTTCACTTTATTCCCTGTTTCTTAATAAGTGCCAAGTCATTGGGAAGTATTTTTGAGACGGAGGGAGTAGTATATAGTATAATTGTATAAATTTTCAAACAACTGTAATAAAAAAAATACAGTATAATTTTAAAAATTACAAAATGAAGAGTGGTGTATAAGAAGTTGTATTAGATTTGTCTCCTTATTCACTTTTCCTTTTTCCTGTGTTACCTGTTCTTTTTTTTTCAAAGGAAAAAAGATGGCATCTTTGCCTAGCTTCCTATAGTTTACAATCTTTCCACCCTCTACAGATTTGAATGAAACACATCCCACATTCCAGCGGATAACCTACAAATTCTTGAAGATTCAGACTTTTAAACCAGCTATCAATCAGACCATTGATTTGGTGTTTGACAAAATGCCTGAACTATTGAATCATTGAACAAACGTAACTTCTGTTTGTCAAAAAGCTGCAGTACATCACTGGTTTCAATTTTGTAGACTTCACAACCAACCGATAGAAAGCAATATTCAGTTACCATCTATGTGGAAGGTCAGTTCACGAACTCAAGGATGGATGCTTCTTAGTTTTGGCATTTTTGCATTTTCGGCATTTGTCTTTGCCGCTGGGTTGTCCAAGGCTCTTCCTGCATCTGATAACCCTGTAATAGCAGCCATTCAAAATGACAGGTAAATTTCAATAGTTTGTTTCAATCCCTTTTCATTGTTGTGTTAAACAAAGTGTCTGTCTTCTAGTGGCCCGGTTGGTTGGAGGTGAATACTGGTTCTTCCAGATTTATTTAATATAGGATTACCTTGCATGGGAATTGGTTTGGTGATAAGAGCCTAGGTTTTTGGAGAACCTATAAAAACTGATTTTTTTTGTTGGAGAATCTGCAGTCTGGAGGTTGAGTTCTCATTGTATGTAAGATGCTTGTCATTAATGAATTGAAACCCTCAATTCAAAAACTCTTACTCCGTATTATATTTACTAAGCTTAACCTAGTAGTAATTCAAACAAAAATCTTTACCTGCATGTGCCTTTCTCTAGATTCACTCAAATTCATGAGGTTTACGTAAATTAACCTCAGACCAAGGGAGCCTAAGGGTATAAAAGAACTTGCAAAACTGTCTCTAATCTTTGTATTCTTTTGATTTCAGATACTACTGCTTTTTGGTTCCTTTAACATTTCCTGTCCTTTATGTTGCTGTATATTTCCATTGGCTTAGCATGAAGCTCTTTAAGCACGCCTAGAGGATATGATCAAGTTACGAACTAATGTAGTCTTCTGCATTGTTATCTGGTAAAATCATTCTTGGTGATTTGATATTGACCGTGACCATGGTCATTTGATCAATTGGGTCTAAAATGAACAATAAAATGGATTCATGTAATTCCTGCATTCTTGTGTCGTAATCTGCAAGTGGAAAGATTTCTATGTTACCAGTTGCATCACTACATGAGCAATTGTTCTTGGAAATGAACAATAAAATGGCGTATATGTTCTGGATCACCGTACTTATTATTCTTTTCTGAATCAGATTACACACGTTTCATAGTTTATGGATGCTTATGGTTTTTCCTCTAATGTCGGGTAAGGTTAGGTCTCCTCCACTTTTGTATTTTTCCATATGTTTAATAAAATTAAAAATGGTAAACGTTCTACAACATTTATCCCATCATAAGATGGTTTACCTACTAGGGCTACAAAAAGATCATGTCAGGCGCATGAAAATTCTATGCAAGAATAAACAATTATCTCGCTAGATACAAAATTAGGGATGGACCCGGGCCGGTCCGGTTCCGGTTCTGGGCCGGTCCGGTTCCGGTTCCGGGCCGGGCCCGGGTGGGCTTTTTTTCGGGTTACATGGGCCCGGAACCGGCCCGGGTTGATACCGGGTCCGGGCCTAACCGGGCCGGGCCGGGCCCGGTTCAATGTTTTTTTTTTACTTTCTTGTTATCTCCCTACCCCCCTCCCCTCACCCCCACGCCCCAAACCTCCCTAAAACACCCAACCCTACCCTAGGAAAAGAAAAAAAATTGAAAAAACCCAAAAAAAAAAGTGAACCGGGCCCGGCCCGAATCGCCCGGGCCGGTTCAACAAAAATAGGGCCCGGAACCGGCCCGCCCGACCCGCCAACACGGGCTAAAAGCCCGGAACCGGCCAACCGGTCCCGGTCCGGTCCGGGCCCGCACAGTAGCGGGCCGGTCCGGTTCCGGGCCGGTTCGGCCCGGCCCAGTCCATCCCTAGAATACAATTAATACTAGTAATATACACACTATCGTTATGCACAATCAGAAAAATATACATATAACGGGTCAGTGATATTTCAGGAGACATGGACAATAAGTGAACTCCAAAAACTAATAGATGAGAGTAACATTTTTAACACCAAAAGGAAAAACATTTTCAACATTTCAATTTGATAGCAATTAATAACAACATTACATAAAGAAAAAGAAAAAAAACACCTAAAGTTAGCATTTTTGCCCGATGGAATTGAAATGCATATGAATAGCCAACCGCAAAATAAACATTTAATACAATAAATTCTAAAACTAAATCCAAATGATGCACAAGTGCACAACTTCTTCAATCCAAAAATGACCTCATGCACTTGAGTTCAACGGTTCAAGTATGGTGTGAACCAGGTATGGCCCATAAAGTGGCCATAGAAGGAAGATGTTGCTAGAAGGGTATTGTTGGGTATTGTTGGGGTATATTACCCCGAGCTACTACTGTTCAGAAGCCCAAGACACTGCCCCGGTACGGGGCCCAGTCAGCGAGGCTCATTTAGGCCAGCTTGGCCCATTTCGGCCCACTTGAGCCTACCTCGGCCCATTTTGTGGCCCAATAGACTAGAGGGTTTTCCCCCCTCCCCTTTTCTACAAGTAGGAAGTTAAGCTTCCAGTAAAAGGGATCCTCTTTTGGAGCTCTCCTCCCTCCCTGCTTATTTCTTCCTCTTTGGATTAGAATAGTGCTTCAACCTCCATTAATGGAGTGCAAAATACGTAGTATGTATTATGCGAGGAGAGCATATTAATGAGAAAGAGCGGGCTTGGACGTTAGCCTAAAAAGTCTCATGGTTTTCTCCCTTTCCGGATTTCCACGTAAAAATAGCTAGTTCATACACTTTTATATATATTCATTTACTTTTATACCGAATTCATCGTCCCTAATATCCAAAGTTTATGTTGGGCTTTCGGATCTACGGGATTAAACCTCAAACAGGTATAAAAGGGTAAGAAAATGTGATGAGATTGCCCTGGTTGCCCGACATGAATGTATTGTTAGCGTTGATGCAATTGTGGGTGGTGATTGAAATGGCAAATATTTGGAAATATGAAATTATGAAATAAGATATAGCGCATTTTTGTAAAAAGTTTGCTATAGCCAAACACTTTAAGTCAATCTGTATAAGCAAAACATTCAGACTTGAATTATGTAAATGTCTTTATTGTAATAATGCGTATAATGTTATCAATATGAATTGCTACATTTATATAATGTCTATAAATGAATAATATGATATAATTGTTTCATGCTTATTTTCACTGATGTGGACATATAATACTCCAGTTTTACACATGTAAAAATAAACATGTATACAAATATTTGTACACATACATTACTCACACACATATAGACATAATATATATGTACGGAGTATTAGCTATCCACCTCGACTTTCCTTCACTCTTTTTTGCTCCCCTCCCCAGTTTTGAAGAACGATTTCCCTCTTCCTCTTTCCACTTGATACATCAATACTATGATTATTGTTGCTAGTAGAGGACTCGCACTCCTCTTTTGTTTCTTCTCTTGATCTTCTCTTATTCATCATCTCAAGGCACACTTTCAAACCATCCTACATACCCCAAAGTATAATCTAATTAATTGCCATCTTTTGATCGATCACCACTTTCCATAAACAGAAATATTGAAAGCCCTGTTTTTCTTTGATTTTCATTCAAAGCTTTGATTTGAAGATCATTGTGAAAGAGAGAATATTGGTAATAGGAAATGTAAATAGAATATAAAGAGTACGAAAAAGGAAAAATTGCAATTTTAAACGTATCATGTAACTTTACTCGGTTGCAGATTTGGCCATGTAAACTAATAAATCTTTGAAATTTAAGAACTTCTCAACCAAAAAGCACACTTTAATTTTCAGCCATTAATTCACCGGAGAATATGTCACTGGCGTTGAATTTTATGCCTAAAAGTATACTTTCCGATGGAAAAGTTCTTAAATTGCAAATGTTTATTAGTCACATGGCCATATCTACAACCACACAAAGTTATTAGACTAATAACGGGTAAAGTCCAAAGTTACGAAACCAAAATTGCAATTCTGTCGAAAAAGAATAAGCATTCATGCTATATATATTCGCCACATGCACACCTGTTGATCTTGAGGAAGGAGAGAAGTGAAATGTTCGGAATAGTGCAGGTTGCAACCTCGGCTAGGAATAATTACATCTTTGAGGACGCACTGAAGTGTAGCTTCTGCCACAACACTCGGTCGGAACTCTAGAAACTTTGGATCTGCTACCATTATTTACTAAAACCATTATATTTAAGATACACATGCAATTACGGAGAATTATTATTATAGTTAAATCACGAATTGAAGTATAAGTATCCATAATAGATGTACATATTTTAAATTTCCAAAATATATATGAGTAAAATGAGTTGGACACGACAAAAGTGTTCTTTTAGTGTACAATTTCCACTTTCGAACAAAACAATCACGTACTACTGCAAATTAACATTGTCAATTAAGCAGTGGTAGCTGCAACAAGATACTAAACCATATACGGAGTACAAATCAAATTGGTACACTGGCCTAAAATATGAACACCCTAAATTTTAAAAAAGGTTGGTAAACCTATGGGATTAACCACTTTGAGAGAGCAACCTTCACCCACTACAAAACAAAACATGGGATTGACAAGGTTTTTTGGTAAGAATCATCAAAGTTCATAGAGAATTTGGTGGACATATATGTCAAATACATTTCAAGAACATTTTGGCACGAGCTATTTAACTGACACTAAATCATCGGTTAATTTATACCAATTCCGTGTTAATTCCGTAATTTTTTTGTAGCGTGCACTAGACCGCTACATTACGTAGGCCGGGTTGGAGGCTAACCTTATACATTATGAGGACTAATAATAAGTCATAAACTCGTAGGGTAAGAAGTTAATTGGAACTCATATTTTAAAATTTTCACAACATTTTAGTATTGTCTCCCAATCAGGACAATTTGTCTCACATTCAGTTAAGTTTTAATTCATCACATTATACTTTAAGGGTATTAAGAATGTGGAATCTATTTGAGAGAAGTGATTCAGATACTAATAAATTTATTTTTCACAATACATATAGCACCCGTATTAGCTAGGTTACGTACCAAAGAGTAGGCCAAGAAGCATCTCAGTCACAGCATGTGATGTTTTCATCAACACATCGTCTTCTACAGTAAAATTGCAAGGGATGAGGGTATGGTTCCATTCAACGAGTTGCAGGTAAGAGTAAGGAGTTATAGACTTCATCTTCCATCCAAGAGCCTCCACAAGGCTCAACTCCATCCGTCTAACTAGGTCATCTTCAAAGGGATGCTCTATCCCCTCCATCTGCATGCATGTCATCATGCCATGCCATCGTTAATTTAGAGACCACACTAGGAAACTAAGGGTTTGGAACAGGCTAATAGGATATATCGATCCGAGGTTCATTCGGTTAATTATTTGGAACATATTCCCAAAATTAGTATGGCCAATATCTCAGTTTTTCGAGACAAGCTCGAAAAACCCTGATACTTATATATGTACATGCCAGCTAATGGCCCTCATTTTCTATTTTAGGAAACAATTAATAGTTTTAAATAACAATTTAATCTTTAAATAATAAAAATAAGGAAAAGTTCCCGCAATAGAACTAAAACAGTTTGAAAATTTCAAAATAGGACGGTCATGTTTTTTACACCCAAAATAGGAGTAATTACTGCCAAGTTTAGAAAATACCGCCATGTTTGAAGTCTAGTACTGCCAAAACATGACAGTAATTAGTCCTGTTTTGGGAATAAAAAGATGGCAGTTCTACTTTGGAATTTTTCAAACCTTTTTAGTCCTATTTCGTGTAATATTCCCCAAAAATAATACACATATGACATCACCGTTGTAATAATAACTCTTATATTATCTATCATCAATTTTTTTCAGAATATACTTCAACCTTTGAACGGGACAATAAAGTTTGTCAAATTGACTTTTTTTTAGTCAATGTAACTTTGACCAATGATATATACTTCGTACGGATTATTGTTTAACACGAAATTATTAAGCATCAAATTTATAATTAAATTATACTACCTCCGCCCCAAATTGAGTTGCAAATTTGACTTTTCATGGTCAAACAGTCTCGTTTTGTCCACTTAATTAGAACGTCAATTTTTAAATATATTCTAATTTAGAGTTTAGAACTTTGAAGAGATTTTAATGTAGTTTTTGAATATGTAAATTTTAATTATTAAATTAAGAATTGAATTAATCATCCATAAGGAGAGTTGACTTTTATTATTAGTTGACAAAAAAATGTTGACTTTGCAAAACAAATTGGGACGGAGCGAGTATAGAAATATAATAATTGAAATCATTGCTCAATGTTTACTATCATTGACCAGAAAAAATCAATGTAGATTAAAGTTTTTGGGATGGGGTAATGTTATTATATTGTACTCCGTAAAAACTAATAATAAGAACGTAACCTGAATTGCATGCAATGAAGGAAGGTGGGTTTCGTTGAATTTAGAAGCCACGTACAAGCATGCAATTGATAGTAAATCGAATATGCAACACTCCCATCCCTACATGCATGCACAGCAAGTTATTCAATGCATGCATAGTTAATTTCTTATTGATTATAGATTAAAATCATATAATTAACTAAACGTGTGTGTATAGTATATGTCATGTACTCGTATCTTTTATTTATTAATAACATGATTTAAATTATGGCCATACTTCGCATTTTCTTAAAGATATGAAGCGATCAATGTAATTTGCTGCACAGAATATGCTTTCGGGGGAGAGACTCAGCCGCTTTTGAGACTGCAGATCAAATGAACCCAAATTGAATCATGGAGCAAACATGCAAAACACTTAATAATCATTCAAATATTACCTGGATTAACTTCAATTATACAATTATACATCTTCCAATTACTATGCTGATTCATAATTAATAAAAAAAAGATATTTAAGCTCCAATACGAACATGCGTACTATACACACTTCTTCAAGCTAAGTATACTCCCCCCTTAAGATATTTTGACTTTTTTTAGTCGATCAAGTTTGATCAATAATATTTTCCTATACTCCATACACAATTATTTAAGATATGAAAATTATATTCAACTGTTCATTGTTTAAAAATATTTCCACAAAAGTATTTACACAAATATAATAACTAAAATCATTGTTAAAATTTTTTTAACACTGACCAAGATAAATCAATTTGGTCGGGCACAAGAGATAAACATATTCTCATTTTTTGTAGATAAAAACAATTTCCTCATACCAATAAAAAGGACTACTAATAATTTCGTTTATATTTTTTTACTTCGTACAATGGAGGCTAGCTAATATACGACGTATATAGGAAGATTATATACGAATTGGAGGCTATGGTGTTCTAAAGTCCAGAGCAGCGGCAGACCCAAAGGGAACAAATGAGGGCCACCGCCCTAAAATCCCCCCTTGAGTATTTTATCCCAAAATTTTAATATATATATCGCAGTATATATGCACTTTTTACACAGTTGCCCGTAATAGCGGGAATTCCTGCATTCGCCGCTGGTGGAGAGCACACTCGTGCTCTATATCTAGTATAATCGATATCCACTTAGATTTTTGAATCTGCTCTTGATAACTAGTAATTTTTGGCACAAAAGAAGAGTGCATTAGAACTGAGTACCCCAATAATCCAGTGAACAGCTTTGAACCTAGCATTGTAAACCAAAGTGTTGGATTGAAGGTAATCGGCATAACCCGGTTCCGGCATGTGCTTCCTCTCATTCTCCACCAGAATTCGAACCGCCTCTTCAAATTCTTCCCTGGAAAACGGCGCCGCCGCATTGTAGGCTACACTAGGCTGCTGCAACCGCCGCAGCTCTACGGCACTCGACTCATTTAGCGGCGGAGGAGTGAAGTCCAAAACTTCGTCGCAAAGCAAGCCGTCGTGGTCCATGTATGTCGATAGGAAGGCGGCATGAAGACGCAAAGCCCGAGTACGTGGAGGAAGAAATATAGGAGCAGTTCATTGTCAAAAGACACGACCATTCTCGGTTAAAAGAGAACTGTTCCCGCCTTAAGATATGATGATGATACTCGCTATATAATACTATCTCATCCCTTAAAACTTTGCCAAGTTTGACTCGTACGGTGAATAATAAAGTAAAAACTGTGTGGTTGAGGTTTGTGCAGAGGAGAGAGAAATAACAAGAACCACAAAATATTGATTAAAAGGGAAAGTACCAAATTTTTTTGGGACGTCCCAAAAAGGAAAGATGGCAAAATTTTAAGGGACGGAGGGAGTAATATACGGTAAGTAGTAACATCATCATTATTGGTTGGTTATTAAATTACACTTTATTACAACTCCTTAATTCATTTTAGTTAAAGGATGTTACGTTTATTCATCCTTTAACTGAAATAACAAATATAAACAAACCTCAACAACACGTATGACGTATCATCAATTCACCGATAAGAGATAATATGTTTGTGCAAATTACCCGTAAAGACTACTTTTATATCCAGAATATCATTTATGTCCAAGTCACTTTTTCTTTTCATCCGTAATTTTTCTATTTTCAATTTTAGTTCTTCTATTTCACTTTTAGATACTTCCGAGTTCCGTGTCTGCCAAATTCCACTCCTCTGTCCATACATACATCTAATCCTTCTCCACCTCTCGGACTCCTTGACTTCCGTCTCGTACCACAAAAACCGCCTCATCTTCTTCTCATCCTCTCCATCGCAGACGATGCATCATATGGATAAACGGGGTCACATTTGAGCTTCGATAGGTTGTGATCGGAGCTTTGAGTCAACATGTCGTGACACACTTTCCAGGATTTATCGATCCCTCATCGCTATGATCATTCAAAACTAAATCAGAGGAGTGATAGGTTGAATTCATGGCTTCAATCGCACACTCTATGTGACTCTGGCGTTGTCTTAAGGGCCGGAGACATTATCGGTAATCTTAAGGGCTGGAATCCACGGGCGTTGTCTTCTTCAACGGGAAACTGAAGGAGTGCAGCAGATTTTTCTGTGGAATGTTTTTCTAGGAAAGTTGTAGCAACAGAAAAACTATATGAACAAGATGTTGGCAGCTGTGTTAATAGAATTCTCACGATTACAATAGACTTTTCTATGTCTGACGATTCCAAATGAGGTATATTTTCTATTGTTTTAATTCAACAAATTAATATGGTATAGTTAAATCGTTGTTCTCTCACACACACACACATATATATACAGAGTATATATTTATAGTTCGTATATGATCATTTCATTGGTTTTCCTTTCATGGTATTTTTTGAGTTTGAATGGTTTCATTTTATAGTCATTCGAATTCTTTTGATTCATGGATTTCAAAGGATGATACTGATAAATTAGTTATCCAGATAGGTTGCATCATTATTTAAATGATAACAAATTTATTCATAATGTAAATTGCTGGATTTATATATGTTTGAGGTTTGCTATTATGTGGAAATTAGTATTCTTTATGTCTCACTGTTTGAGACAGTCGGTGATGAAAAAAAAAGTTTCAGGACCTCAGGCAATGTCTAACTGAGGTATGACTAGATGTGTTTGCTGAGTAGATTGAAACCCCATATGACTAAAATGTGCTGAAAAAATATGTCTAGTTGCCTACACTCAGAGGGATGTAACATCTAACTTTGGTTGAAATCATAGGTGGATTATATCCTCATCTTAATGGGTTAACAATGCAGAAACCTTCAAGGCTTCAATAAAGAAAGTGGATTATTTACCCTTAACTTTGCCTCACTCTAAAGTCCTTTAATATATTTGTGAAGTTGGATTTAAAGTGACTTTGTTAAATCTTATTCAAGACGTATCACTTTTTCAACCTTTCTTCACTACGAAGTAGAAAATGCTTTAACTTTGTTCCCTGTACAAGTAGGGATTTTTATCCAAAAAGTTGATGCCTCGGTTGTCCAATTATTATACTGTTTTGCTTTGTTAATTAGCAGGTGCTTTGAGATGTTCAAACATTATTTGTAGAGAGCTATTCGGTCATATAATATTTTGTGTATGAGTATATGAAAAAAGTAAAACTTCATCATCAATTACCTGTAAAACTTGTGTGTTTTGCAAGGGGATCGGAAGGCAAGGTTCTCGATCTATTAATCTTTTTTTCATCTTCCTACTAAATGTTTTCTGGTTTTTTGTTTTACTATAGGAGGTTGTTATGTATTTATCGATTGATTGTTTGCTTATTTGGAGAAGAAATTTGCTAAATTTGCTGGTAATGGTATGGAGTGGTAGAGCTTTGGTAAAGTAAATGTGCTTCCGTTGTTTCACTATTCTTCTTCCTCTGAAGTGCTTTATTCTGATTTTACAAGTATTTAAGATACTCACAGATTATTCTAGTAGAAGTAAGTTTCATTTGTGTATGAATGAATGATTGTGTTGTCGACAAGATTTGTAGACTTGATCTTGATATCGGCATCGGGTGTTAGGGGTATGCTCCTGGGGCCTGGATAAGCCTGCGGCTTTACATGATGACCAGAAGATGTCTTCAAATAGCAACGTGAGATTTGCCCGGCCAGAAGCAGCTCAGTCAGAAGGACATGGAATCCTTGCCTTGCCGGAAATTGAATCCTGAGTCAAGTTTGAGGCTTAAGGATGACTTTGAGAACTTTGGAGACATTGGTTCCTTTGGGGAAGTTGGCTGCATTCGGACAAGGAATAAAGTCTTGCCCTGATTTTTCTTCGGATGGAAAGTTGCTTGCCAGTGCTGGGCATGACTAGCATATGGGCTGCTGCTTTGGAAGAATTTCCCTTTTTATAACTTTGAGTAGATACTTTCTTTGATTCTTTCTGATGAGGCATGTTATACAAACTGATCTAAGTTTTCTTGCTTTTAAAATTTACGTAGTATGAAATCATAAAGAGTGTAAGTATAAGTGTCATCTTCCCAACGATGAATAATATGGAATCAAGTGTTACTTAAAAAAAAAAAAAGATCTTGATATTGGCATCAATGTAAGTGAGTATGAAGATCTGATTTGATCTCCATTAGGTTTAGTAGCTTTTTTCTTGAATGAATCCTATATGACATTTTTTTCTTATTTTCTTTTCTGCTAGTTGTAGATATATTTTTAATGTTGTACACTAATTTTATAGGTGTATTTTTTGCTTATAGTAATTGAGTCCATGTTATATTGATCACATTTTCATTGCAGGCGTATAATAGAAGTACATGGATCGGACATGATAACTAAGACTTAAAGATCAATGAGGAAGTAGAAGAATGTGAACTAGAGAAATGTAATAAGTTGAATTAGTAGATTGAACTATACATTTATTATGAAACATTTAAATGTTATTTTTGTTTCTTTTTGTGGTATCGTATCTGTTATTTTTTGTTGCACCATGTTGCCTTTTGTTTCTTTTTGTTGAATTGTTCGTGTTACTTTTTGTTGCATTGTGTTGCTTTTTGTTGCATTGTGTTTTCTTTTGTTTCTTTATATGTATCTTATGTGTTGCTTTTTGTTGCATCGTGTTGTTTTTTAGAAATACCGTGTTGCTCATTGTTATTTATTATTTATTTTTGACTAATGTTATAAATACATATACAAATACCTAAAATGATTATTTTCAATTGAAAACAAATAAAAAGTAAAATAAATTAAAGTTATCAACAATAAGAAACACAAAAAAAACAATATGCAACAAAAGTAACAATTTGGTAAAAATAAAAAGATTTTTAACTCTATTAAAAATGTTACATTAAAAAAAATCAAGTTTTCATTTTTTAAATTTTTTATAGTTCACATTGATTTTTCCGATATTTTTTAAATTTATGAATTATGTTTTCTATTTTAATTGTACTTTCTATTATTGTTTGTTTTTTGAATACTTTATATATATATTTGAATACTTTATATATATGCTTTATATATCTATTTTTTATTGGTAAAGTATAATTTGAACGATGTGAATGCTTTCAAATTTTATATATTTATTCGAGGTATAATATTTTTTATATTGTATGCATTATGATTTTAAAAAATAACTCTCACATAAATTTCTAACTACTTTTGATATTTTATAATCATTAAATTTTGTATTTGTTTTTAATAAATTCGCCAACTTTTTAACTATGTTAAACATTTTTCATTTTTATTTTCGAGTTTTGTATTCGAAATTTACTATACACTTATCCTACATTTTTCTGATTTATTTTTAAATTTTTTAAAATCTAATTTACAAGTTTTAATTTTTCAGCTTTTATTATGCGTGTTTGATTTTTACTTTTTTTAATTTCAGTTTTTAAAGCAAATATATACATTTCAGAGCTTTATTATTTTTCCATTTATTATGATCTTTTGGCACTTTATACTCATCACCTTTGTAATAATTTATCTAAGACCAAAGCAACTCATGAGTTATGAGTGTACTTGCACTCCTAGTGAGGAGGAATACGGAGTAGCAGAGAATCAAACGTAAGTGCCGGGTGTTAATACTCCGTATAGTCTTGTTGTGAAAACAAAATATTCGCTGGTCTATTTTTGAAATAATTTTTGTAAAGTGAAAAAAGTGATATTACTTTCACTTGTTTGTCCGCTTGTGAAAAATTCCCGATATGTTTTTACTTTGGACTATCTTCAATCCCAGATCAGACCAGACTTAAACAGATCATATCATACCACATTTTCATAATTATAAAATACACAAAGAACCGACATTCATCAGACCAAACCAGCAAATTTTAGTCCAAATAAAAACATCAGTACTCCCCTCCGTCCTTTACAACTTTGCCAAATTTGACCGCACGAGAATTAATAAAATAAAACTATGTGATTGAAGTTTGTGCAGAAGATAGACAATTAACGGGAACCACAAAATCATTACTTAAAAGGAAAAGTCGTAAAGGTTAGTGAAACAACCAAAAAATGACAGTTGAGATTTTCTAATTAGGGTAACTTTAAGTCATTTGA